TGTGATCTGTCAAATAAAGAAATTGACAGCATGTTTTCTACAACACTCTGTTCTTCCTGTCATGAAGTTATTTTTCTACGATGGCTGCCAGAACGTCTCGGTCTCTGTACTTTCAGAGCTCACATCACTAGAGACATTCCTGCTGAGTCACATGGGAAGAAAACTTGTTCGTGGAAACTCTGCTACTCTCAGAGGACTTTTTTTAACAGGCCTCAAGTGTCTAATTTTCATTTGACTTAGCTGACAGCTTGTTTCCTTTGCTGTTTTATTCTAGGAAACAAGAGGATATCTTACATCTGTCTTTGGACACAGTTATTTTAACTAAACAGTCAGGCAAGCGAGGATGCTGAAGCTTCACTCAGGACTAGTGAACTGCTTGTGTTTCTGATAAGTTACTGTGAAATCCAAAATTCTAAAGTTGCTCTTTCCAGCAATGAAAATAGATGAGACTTCTTCGAAAGTTGTTTTCTGTTTAGTTATGGTCATGGTGAATAAGCCGGCCTGTTTATTTTATAGTAAGTGTAGTCGCAAGTTCAACAGAGGGAAAATACTCATTGTGCCTGTTGGGTTTGTTTCCAATGTAGGGATCGGGCCAGTCCACATGAATGAGGTGGAGTGCTCTGGGTTTGAAAAGTCACTGACTGAGTGCCACTTCAACCGCGAGTCTGTGGGCTGCAGCCACGAGGAAGATGCAGCTGTCAAGTGTAACGTTCCCGCCATGGGATTCAATAACAGAGTGAGTAACTAACATGAGTCTACCATGTATAACAAAAACATTTTTATATTTGTGTTGCACTGCAAGACACATCTGTCTGTTTCTGAACTCAGCTTCGGTTAAATGGAGGCCGTAACCCCTATGAGGGCCGTGTGGAGGTGCTGGCAGAGAAGAACGGCTCGCTGGTGTGGGGCACAGTGTGCAGTGACAGCTGGGGGACAATGGAGGCCATGGTGGTCTGCAGGCAGCTGGGCTTGGGCTTTGCCAGCCACGCTTTCCAGGTAAGATCTCTGGAGCAAATGTTTATTATATAAGTGAGTCACATTTAAGCCAGGAGGTGATTTTTTTTCGTGACAAACATTTTGAATATCCTTTGATGAACAAAGAAGAGTTTTAAGTTGCAAGAGTGGGAAACAATATACTGTGTGTGTGTTTGATTAGCCACTGTGACTAACCTGCCCTGTAGAAACCACAGATGGATAACAGCAGGACCAGATTCTAGATAAATAGGGGAGTCTTTCTTGGGAGAAACAAGTCATCTTGTAGTGATAAACATTGTAAACTGATGATTGTCATAATTCATACTTAACAACACAATCCATTTAATAGCAGCAATAGCAAGTCAGCATTGAGGGTTTTGTCGACTGTCACATGTAAGGTTGAGTTGTTGTAAAGTATTAGTAAACTGTACTTATCGCCTTTTTCAGCTTGTAGCTAAAGAAATGAGTCTGTGTTATTCGTTTTAAAAGTGCTATATAATTTCATAAAGCACTATGAATATTACATCATGTTTAATATGAATGAGAGTAAATGAGTCTGACAGAACCACACATTTTATCGTGTGTGTGTTTCCATGTCAGTGGGTGCTATTTACACTCACTCGGACCAGCATTAGATTAATTGAACCCAGAGGGCAAAACAAAGATGTGCTTGCTTAGAAACATAGAAAACACGCTGTCAGCACCGAAAGCAGGTCAGGCATGTTAAACCCATGACACATGTGTGAGGTGCGCTCCTCAGCAGGAGAGATGAGAAAAGCCTCTGGTTCTCGTTTGAAGTTAGGACCCTCCAACAGTAAATTCTGTGGCATGACTTTGCTGCGTCACAGTCCTGCCATGTTTATGTTTCCCTCTTAGTTTTTAAAGGAGACCTCAGTGCTCCCTTTATGTCATAAGGCTGGTAAAGGTAAAGACCCCCTTCAGTTCTTTATATCTTTGTTTCTATTTTAAACCAGTGTGGCATTTACGATTTTATGTGAAGTATATGTGAATCATGGGGATGTGCACTTATAACAGGGTTTTAAAATGTAACTGGCTCTGGAGGAAGCTGTTTATATCACAAAGCTGTGTTTTGGACTATTATGTGTGATGCACTTCTAATGGTAAACATGTCATCATGTTTGTGCTCAGTGCCGGAGCATGCACCCTCCAGTCGAGTGTTACCAGCACTGATCCAGGATCTGATAAAAAATGTTGTGATGACAAGAAGTTATTTCACTTAATTAAAGAGTCATTCTGTGCCAAGTCAAATAATCAGGTGTAGGTATCATAATAACAAGTCTCTCTGTCACCACGTACACTAAGCTTCCATTACATAAGAGTTCTCATGTTAACGGCAGGTTGAGGAGTGATAAATGTCTACTCTTTGTTATCATAGTGGAGCAGGGAATCCGTCTCCAAGGAGACTCTTTCCTGTCTGAATTTTAAATGCTTCTGCAGGCAAATCCCACCACCAGATGGAACAAGTGACACAGAGCTCAAACTATACCGCTGCACGTCTGTCCGTCTCCTCAAACCACCCGCGAGCACCCCCACATCCATATCCCTCAGCTCAGTTTCTCTCTCATGACTCTCCACTTCCTCTGTAGATGATGGAAAGTATGAGTTCCTTTCAAGGTTTCCCTGTGGTTTGCAAAACACTGTAAAAAGGCTGAGTCAGGAGTGTGAGGACGACAGAGTGTGTGTGTGTGTGTGTGTGTGTG